TAGGACTGTATCGCGAATCGGCGTGCTTTGATCTCGCTGCTTACTCGTGGTCGTACTTAAAGTCGGGTTAGCCGTCGGGGTTTTTTCGGGATGCAATCGTAATAAGTCGTCGCACTGGAATTTTGGTACGAAGTAGGACTTATTCGGAATGTAATCGTTCGGAAGTGGTAGGTATGTCCTGATTTTACTGACGACTGATGCCAGAAGTGTCGGCTCATCTTTGAAGGAGACCTCAGTTCTTCTTTCCTCTATGCTCGACGTTTATGGAGGAGCTCGTGGCAGTTCGGATGCGATCGTTCTTCGCCGTAGTTTTCCTTCTCGGTAAGAAAATGAGTCCTTTAATTAACTTGGCTCACTTCAGGTTAGCCGGAAAGATTTCGAGATTAATTCAGTGTTTGTAATGATTTTTTTTCTTTTTGGAAAAAATAAAAACATTACGGTAAAGCTCGATCTTTGTGTTTCACATTCATTAAAACAGAAGTTGAGTGCGCGTGGTTTATTTCGAGTACAAGGTCGATGTTTTTGTGACTTGTTGTCCGGCCTCAGCTGTCATGGCATTATTGCCTCTGCCAGCTATCGATTATCACAGTATTCCTAAAGGTCCTTTTGTTTATCGTTTCAGCTCTTGAGAACAGTCTATCGACTTTATGATAAAGGAATGCCGAGTAAGACAGTCTTATAGAAGCTCATTCAAGATGAGCTTTCGGTATTTAAATTCAAACTAATATTAACCCGGACTCTGAGGAAATTCCGGCATCTCAAATATGTCTGTTCGGCATGCAAACGTCTGAAGAAACGTCTGGGAAGACTCAGGTAAACAAAAATAAATGTTAGACCTTAATGATCTTTTTCTGTGGACAACCCGTCGCGAACAAGACTTCCCTTGGGTAAAAAAAGCGAGAGGTCGCCCTACAAATCAAGCAAAAAGGTAACCGGCGGCTAAGGCTTGTCGAAGCGTGTTCCCTAGAATTCTTGCAGAACTACTGTCCTTCCAATACAAGACATTTCCTTTAACATTTATTTTGAAGTTACAGATGAGATTGCAATAAATATGTTATTTCATGGGTCGCTACCTTCCACGAGGTTATCTTTCAGACGTCTCACCGGAAAAGGATAGAATTTGATGATTTTTTTGCGGACATCTCATCGTGCGCAAGACTCTGCCCTTGTGTGAAAAAGCCGGAGGGCACCCTTAAAATCAAGCAAACAATGAAACAACCGGTGGTTAAAGTTGGTTGAAGTGTTCCCTGAAATTCTTACAGAACTACTTCTAATACGAGACATTTTCATTCATGAAGAAATTGCAGATGGAATTGAAGTAAATATGTAATTTCATCGGTCGATGCTCTCCGCGAGGTGTCTTTTAGACATGTCACCGGAAACGGATAGAATTTGATAACAAACCACTGCGAGCAAACGACATGATGACATGCCTGTCAAAAAATTAGATTTGTAATACTGTAATACAGAAATAAATTAGTCAATGATGTCTTTTTTGAAATGTTTCATTCTGTTTTGCCGTTCCTTTCGCATTACGAAATGGCCGCCACGAGAAAGCTGGCAAGAAAAGTATCGTTCCAATCCTCTCTCGGCCACGCCAGTTTGTTTTGGTTTTGTCTAGACCAATCATATCACAGGAAACGGTAAGACAAAACTGCCGCAATCAATATGAATTCTTGAATTTTGTCCATGACTCTGCCTGCTTTGATTTTTCTGCTCACTGTTAGTCGTGCCTAAGAATCGGGCACGCCGTCGGGTTTCTTCGGGCTGCAATCGTGATTATTTCTTGAGTTTGATCGATTAGTAGGACTGTATCGCGAATCGGCGTGCTTTGATCTCGCTGCTTACTCGTGGTCGTGCTTAAGGATCGGTTTAGCCGCCGGGGTTTTTTCGGGATGCAATCGTAATATGTCGTCGCACTGGAAGTCGGACTAATTCGGAATTTAATCGTTCGGAAGTGGTAGGTATGTCCTGATTTTGCTGACGACTGATACCAGAAGTGTCGGCTCATCTTTGAAGGAGGCCTCAATTCTTCTTCCCTCTTCGCTCGACGTTTATGGAGGAGCTCGCGGCAATTCGGATGCGATCGCTCTTCGCCGTAGTTTTCCTTCTCGGTAAGAAAATGAGTCCTTTAATTAACTTGGCTCACTTCAGGTTAGCCGGAAAGATTTCGAGATTAATTAAGTGTTTGTAATTCTTGACAGATGGTGGCAAACTGTTTTTAGTTTTGATGTCTATATTTTCAATTTCTCTGCATGACTACGTGAAACTGTAAATTCACGATGGAAGGTAGCCATTTTGCTACTGAAACAGTGGCTCTTTTAGAAAGCACTGTCTATAAGCAATCTTTGGTATTCCTTATTTATGCCAACTCATTTTAGGGACGAGTTATATCATCCTGTTGTTTGCTTATCTAAGCATAGAATATTGCGACTTCATACCATAAATCGTGAAAATACGAATATGAAATTTATCAAGTCTTGGCCAAAATTTGCTCATTGAAATGCATCCAAAACTACCCGCATGAATTATCCATCAGTCTCCTTTTGGTATATACAGTTAAGGTTTTTCAGTCTCTAGGTCTCAGAGAATAGGAAGAATTTTGAAAGCTTGCTAACTATGCAGATAATTATATTAATCTGCAGACAAAATATATTAAATATAGGAGAAGCAGTCAAGGTCTAGGTGGGAGTTAAAATGCTATTTTTGCTGTTATGAAAAAATACTTCTTTTGTCTTGTGGTGCGTAAGTTAAGAGCTTAAATCTAAATTTTGGCGGATGGAGATTTAGAGGATTGCTCTGCACCCAGCCTTTTTTAAGCAATCTCAAAATAAATTTCAAGTTTCTTTCGCGTAAATGAACTTGGCGCGAGTCCAATTTTTAATGAAAATAAGGTTATATTGTTTCAGAAGGAGTGATTTATGTACAACTTCGCTTCGAGATACAATTACGATTTTACACTGATAAACTCTTCATATAGCTTTAAATGTATAGTCTTCATTTTTTTTCTTGCTTGTAAGTAGTTGCAAAATTAATTAGTACTTTCTTAAGACCTACTGTAAATTTAGAAGGGGAATCGACGGTACGCTTTGAATCCTCAATGATTTGATAAATATCGAGTTTGGCTTTAAGGCTGGCGGAGGAAAATTCCATAGTGGCCAAGAAGTGAGAAAGTTCCAAGAGAAATCTTTTTCTGAGTGTAAGAGAAAGTGGTTTGTGGGTTTACACACGAGTATGGTGGTTTGAAATTCACACTGTTATAATTCATCAGCTGTCTACTGCGGTCTGGCACTAGTTCAACCAAAATATTAAACATTAAAACGGAAAAGAAGCAAAATATGCCAAATAAACAAGGAGCTTTCATTTAGTTAAATTTAAAATTGCAGTTCTCAATTTTCTTAGGAAAGGTTGTTTAGTTATCAGATCTCCTGAGAAAATATTTATAAATGCACAATTTTGTACCATTGCAATATTCATTAGGATTAGCTTGTGATTTCTCGCAATTAATTAATAAAAATGTGATTGACGCAAGTTAGAAACTTATTGAGATCAAGGATTGTAATGCCGGGTTTCAATGTTTTTTCCTTTTTTACCGAAGCCGATGTGCAGTGAAGATGTTTCGTCTATTTCTTGTAAATCTGATTTGTAATTTTACGACTTACAAATATTTTCTGAACTCTCTAAAGTCTAGCTACTTCAACTTGCCACATTTGACTCGAGAGCAAAGCTAAAAATAAAAATATTGCAGATGCCTTTCAGTCATATGACATGGAACAATTTCGTTTCCTTTAAACGAAGTCACGTCGAAAGAAGCCACTTCAAAAGTTCATTTCATACAGGGTTTGGGTCACCAAAAGGTTTCATCTTATAGTTCACTTATCAAAGGTTTTCGCTAAGTACTTGTAATAAGTATAAAACACAACGGGTGATATTGCTTTTAGCTCCCGCTAATTAATTGACAGGCTCAGATATGATAAGCAAGTAGTACTGCACCATAAGAACTGTCCTGACTGTGCTTTTACAAGGCTGGAAAGTTGCTCACTGGGAGACCGAAAAAGTTTCCAAAAAAATTGGTAAAAATCCAAAAAGTTGCCACCTAAATTTCAAAAGTTGTTACCTAAATTTCATTATACTTTCATATGAGCGTCAGTTAAAAGTCCGTTTTTCGTTATTCACAATAACTGCGAACATCGGTCAAGAAAAATAGCTTGAAACTTAGAGTTGCTCGAAAATATGGGCTTATTTTTAAGGATATCTAACGTTCACCGAACAAAACATATGGTTCATGTCTTGCTGAACGTCAATTTAGCCAATTATCCGTTATCATATTAGATAACGATTGCAATAGGCCTTCAAAACGTTGTCAGTCACAGGCTATGTGTTTGAAAGGTTGATCAAAATTCATGAAACTCTCATAAACTTTAGTTTTTGTAGGAGATCGTTGATTTTTCGTGCTTAATATGGACTCCAAACTTATATTTTGCTCAAAAATTGCACAGAAAGGCAAAACTGTTCAAGGTTGCAAGAACCCCAAAAAATTGCTCCAAACGCCAAATGTTGCTCAATAGTTGCCTAGCACAGTGGCAACAGGTCTATACACCATACACCATTCACCTCCGAGGTGCTAGAGAGATAAATTCACTCTTCAACCATATCTTCACGTAAAATAAACCAATTTCAAGTAGTAAGAGGAAAAATCAGGTGCTCGCCTGATACCAGATGATATCGAATATGGGGTCAGATAAATACACGTTTTTGTTTCTAACCTGTATGATTTGATTTAGTTTTCCTGGGTGGGAACGAGGCTACCCTGTCCAATTCATATGTTGGCGATTGTAGATTTCTGGAACTCTTCTGTGACATGCGCAAATGCGTCACGATGTTCATCAAAGAACTGCAGAACGATTCCGTGGGAGATTGTGGGTAAGTTACAACCTGTCTCATCTCCATTGTTCCAGTTTATTTTTTTTTGTTTTATTTTTTGAGTTTCCCTAATCTGTTATGAGCTGAGAATAAACCGTTGAGATTGCAAAACTAATTTTCGTCTTATTTCCGATGTAGTTTAGGAGGAGTATAAAATTAAAGAATGTCCGCCACTGTTTCAATTTTAACTCGGCTTTCTTTCAATAAGCAAGACGGGGTTGCCTACATTATAATGCAGCGGACTCCTTCTTCTTTGCCAAAACATTTTACGCAGGGATATAAATGGAGAGGGGAGCGGTTGGAAATGCATGTCACCCGAGGTGAAGGACTATTATCCTTGTCGCCTTGTGCTATGAAATCCGATAAGTGCCGCTTAGGTTATATCTCGGGAGTTATACCAGGGTTTATCCCTGGGGCGACCCTCTGGCTTTTACGGCTTACGGTTACAGTTTTAGTCACTACACGGCTAACGTTTAATTTCGAATTCGTTCCTTTACGGTTATCAGAAAAAATTTCTACGGTTAACTTTTCTTTTACTATCATTGGTTAGAATTTGGAAATTTTCACGCCTAACGGACACCTTTTTTTTCCTGCTTCTGGACTGACTTTATAATTTTACGTACAGTCCTTTTTATTTCCATTGTTAGGGTCAAGGTAAACAAAACTATCAATTGTATACGAAGGACATACAACATCTGCTTTGGAACAGATTATGCGCGTCATTTTGAGAGTGTTCGAGTACAATTCACAGAAACTTCCATGTGCCATGAGGGGGCATTGGGATTACCTACTTCACACTCGTTGGAAGTTTTGGCCGCTCATTGCCCCGAATCGTTCAGTACTAATCTAAACAACTGTTTAAAGTCCTTTCAAGGGACTTTTGCCAGAGACAAGACTGATCCAGATCTTTGCAAGTAAGTCGATATGGAGCATTTGAACAAAATTTTGTGCTTGGGGGTGGGGGAGGGGGGAAGGGCATTGAAACGAACCAATCTCCAATGTCCGGAGGTTTGCCCCGGCGGGGATGTTGCAGCTTCGAACTGATTAACGCATCAATGTTACCTAACGTTCCATCGAATTTCAACAGGGAACATGCTAAGGCCACAGAGTGTGTGAGAAAGCTCTTTGCTTCAACCTGCCCCAAGCTACCAACATCATACCGAGAATTGATTGATTTGACTTTCATCAAAAACAATTACAATCCTTACTGCGACAACAATCGTGACCCTGGAGCTTCCAAGATTCCGGATCAATGCAACGGAGTGCGTGAACTTGACAACCCCTGGACAAAGCTGCTGAAAAACAACTCAACCAGCAACATCAATAACAACTCCAAGAGTGCGCATAATATCACAAGTAATACAATCACCACTCCTACAGATGACATTCGTAGAAAATTCGTAAGTTGTTCACCGAAGCATATCAAAGCCGCTACAGGCACTAGTATAAATACGTTTCAAGCTTTTTTCTTTCCTTGCGTGGTTCTGCAGTTGTTTTATACGGTTTGATTCAATGAAGTCAACTTTCTTGAAACCTTCGGAAGATCATACACTTCCAATCCACACAAACAGATTCCGATGGTAGAATGTGTTTCTCTAACAGGATAGGCTAAATTATATTCGCAACACCTTCCAGACGAGGTAATTAGTAATATTACCGGAACTCGTGGCGCGTAGAGTACCGGAAGTCAGACAATCAACAGCGAGGGTAAAATGTTGTCCTCATTTTAGCAGTATAAATAACGTTTGTTACATGTCATCTTCGTGTCACACCTTGCACACCTAAGAGTTCTCGAGGACTCAATTACTCGAGCAACCAAACAAGGAATTGGAAGATCGGTCGATTGAATCCTAACAGAGGACCTAGAATTGTTTTTATTCTCTGAGCGCTCATAACAAATAAGCATCTTTTCTTACGCTTCGATTGGTTGTCCTTCCACAAATTTTATTCACGATGGTAACTCTTTCACTCCATTATTTACCCATAAGACAACGTAACTTAAATGCGCTTATAACCAAAAAATAGATTATATGCTTGAAATATCACGAGAGAACTGGCGCCGAGTAGTAAATGAAATAAGGTGAGGGGGAGGGGGGGGGGAATTAACGCAAGAGCCTCTCCCTTCCCCTGAGGAGCGCTTTGCGGTTACTACGCTTGTAATGAGACATGGTATTCCAACTCATTTTAATGCAAGGCTGTATAAAGTTAACATGCACCGCAGCTTACACAACAACGTACACGCATATTGTAAATTAATTAAAGTGATTCGCTGCAAAAAAAGCTTATGAACTGTTACCTCATTAGGTAGAAAAGTGTGCAGGTTCTCCATGTTTTATGAGTCAGTAGTCACTACTTAGAGTTTGTGAAAATCTTTTAAAGCTTAAAACCATTTGAATTAGCTGACAAGTTTAATCTGAGTGCTAGTTATTGATATCCTATCAATTAATGATCCTTAGGAGCAAATAAATACATCTTGTCGCCCGACTGCGTATCTTTCTCAGTTCAATTACCCAATTGTTCAGTTGGCGGAATGTTCACATCGACCTTTATTTTATCAAGTTTGATTTTAAGTCTTCAACCTTTTTGAGTTACTGTCCACAGAACCTCATACACTGTTTGGAATTGTCAAGCCTTTTTCATTTCATTGTTAGTTTGGGGGTTTTTAAGTTAAAAGACTTTCAAAATTTACACTTTCATTACTCATAACCGGACTTCTATAGGGGATGAACATGTCCCGGCTGGAGGGGAGTTGTATGATTCGTTGAATTTACTTAAAATCTATAGAGCCGCTGACAATATACGAAGGGTAGAGTTTCCCGCGCCATGTGCGTTGCTTGGGAGTCGTTGGCATTTTTTTGGCGTCTTCCATCCTGTAAAGCAACAACTTCGAATCGTCGCCGGGCAGATTCTCGTATATAAATCGTTGTTTATAAGAATGTAAGGAAGCTGGACGCATACAAGTTGTTGTGTCGTACTTATTTTTGCCGAGCTTAGCTGGCCCCTCAAGGAGTGTTGGTTCTTTTCAGCCTCCACCACTCGCTGATAAAAAAGGGAAAAGTAGTAAAAATGATGCCCGGTCAAAGTGCGCGAGAAAAAAAACACAAATCCAGAATACTGCAGACTACGAGCAATCCTTCCTCGTAGTCCATCGCGCAATTAAAAAAATATGAATGAAGAAAAATTTGATTTTAGTGTACCACTTACTCACAGAATTCTGGTCGATAGCTAATCATATTTTTGCCTTCTGAGCAGAGCACAGAAATCAAACTCTCTGGCTTAGCCTGTAGTCACTTCTTTTCACGAGCCTTTCTTTCAGAGTTCCGCGCGGCGTGCTGACATAATTTTTTTTCCTTTTTCCTTTTTTTTCTTTGACAGCTCGTAATGCTTAAGAATCTAAAACAAGTCAAAACAAAATGTTAAACTACTTGTCATGTTGCCTGAGGCATAGCAATTAGAGGGTAATCATATAAATTTTGGGCGTTCTTAAAATGAAATGCATTTTTCGGATTTTTGTCGACAATACAGTCAAATCATTCATTGGGACTTATAGCGCGCTATCCAATTTGCTCGATCTATTCCGTTCCAGTTTCTCTGCGTTTCAAGGTGAAAATTAATCCGGAGAAATTGCCCTCTTAAATGGGAATTCCACTTAATATTTTCCCCTTTGTAATTATTATTGTCACTGTAAAAGTTTTCTTAACCTACCTTATTATTATTCTTGTCAACAATTACGCCCCGCGAAAGTTTGATCGTAAACGCTCATGATGTTCCGAGGACCCACTTGAAAAGGTCAATAAACCGTGCACATGATATAATTGTGTTCTATAGCTGTATGCCGACTTCTTTGCTACTCATGGAGCCAATAGACGATTACTTTGAGAGAATTTTAAAAGACCGGTCCTTATACATCATGTGCGAAAAGTGAAGTACTGATCGGAAAAAAAACTGAACAGGGTTTGGGAAAAATTTGCACCTCATTTGAGCTGAAGGAACGATGGTCTTTGCAATGCACGCACAGACCGCTTAAGTTAGAAATCAATTTTGCATACCATAACAGAAACTAGATCTGTTAACAAGAAGACTTGAGAACGAGGCAGGGGGGAGGCTTAAGTCGCGTGTAAGGGAAGGCTAAGGTAGTCTTGTGCGACAACATAACGCCGTGAATTTCACTCTATGATTTCAAGATTTTAATTCAAGAAAAGATTTGGAAGCCAACTTCAGATTTTTCAAGCCGGCACGTCTAACTTAAGACTTTTCAATTGAGCGTAACATTCCATGGGCCTTCTGTGTCACGCTCCGCTGTTATACTAGTTACCCGATAGTTTATAGCAACAGCATTAGAAGTTTTATTCGCAGTAAATACTTTATAGCGGTTGAATTTTTCTTTTGTTTTCTTCTTTTTCTTGCGAAACGTAGTACCAAAACACCTATTCTTTCGCTTATTTTATCAGAATGCGTTAACATTCCCCTCTACCTCCCCGGTCCCCTCCCTAAGAAATTGCAGCATTGATTTTATCTCCCCCGGAGGATGTATCAAACACAAGATTGTTTCAATTAATTCTAGATCACGCGAACTTAAAGTGCGAGTTGATGAGATGCAAGGTCATTTTTTTGGGGGACCGAAAACTGCAACAATTCAGTTTTGGACAAAAGAAACTAAGCAGTTCACTTTGCTGATTTCCTAAGTGAAGCATCAATCGAGCTATCTTTCGCCAAACCGTTGAGAAAGATATACTTCAGTAGCATCTGGGGATTATTTTGAGCAAAGATGAACATCTGCAGCATTAGTGACGTTTTCTGAGATACGACGGAAGACAATAGTTCAGCCTGTCAGATCAAAACTTGGGGGCTGTGGAAGAAATTCTACAGCTTCGCTCGCGTTCATTCGTGATCGAGTCTTCGATTGCGCACTTTTTACAAGTTTCTACTTAGCCTGTTAGGCCAAAATATACTTAAGGTTCCAACCATGAAAGAGAGCACAAGTTTCAGCGTACAAGAACATACCAGTGCAGCATGTGTTTTGATAAATGGATCGACATTTTCCGAGAACCCGACAAGGGACGTTTTGGTCGGCGAATCACCAGAATTCAAAACTTCCAAGTTATTTTTGTATTTCATCATTTTAGCGTTCAGTTCACTTGGCAATGGACTAGTCTTTTGTTTAATTTCCTGCAATCGCCGGCTTCGTCAAGCTTCGTCGAACAGGTTGTTGTTAAATCTGAGTGCTTGCGATTTTCTAACGCCATTATTGAGCATCCCGTTCGATTTAGCTCTGGAGGAACGCAGTTACGTGTGGCCTTACGGCGCGATAATGTGTCGAATGTTGTGGCCAGCAACGACATTTACAGCTACAGCCTCTGCCTTAACCTTGGCGGGCATTTCTTTAGACAGGTTAGTATAGAACGAGTTCTAAAATGAACCTTATAATTTGCATGATTAGAGATATAGCGATGATTGTTTCACAAAAAGTTACCGTAGCAATTCTAGATAATTGGAGTTTGGTCCTTCGCTGATGGAAATTCTTAATCAAGGCCAGCGGAATTATTTATCACCAAATTTATTCCAAAAATTCAGATACTGTCAATTAATTAACTAACAGGAATTTATGAAAACAAGGCATTATGCCAAAAATTATGTTCAAAATGTTTCATGATGCTAAATTTAATAATTCAAAATTATGGCTTTTAGGAGCCCCTCAGAACAAAATATTTTAGTGGATCGAATTCCTGAAGCGCAGACAAGAGAAGCAGGCACATTTGTGACAGTACTCAGGCCACAGAATTTATCTTTTATTGGACTGTTATATGGAGCGAATTTTAAACAACTTTAGCAATTGCGCCGACATCATGCTCGATGCTCTGGCTATAGAATTATGCCCAAAATTATAAAAATGTAACCCTTGCAAATGGAAAGATATATGCGTTGTTTACCAAGCGTGAGGTCGAGATGATATTGGCGGAGTCTTTTTTTTCCTTTTTTTTTTTGTGCATTTTTCGAGGTCCATAAAAACGCCCCCCAAATAAAAAAACCTAAGATAATATCCAGCCATCTTGACCGAACAAGCTTGCTCATTAAAAGATTAATCATATGACAAAAACTGATTTCACTTTGATAAGAATCAAGAATGACTTGTTTCTTTCGAGAGCCGGGAAAGGAAAAGAACTGGGTCGTTTATGTTTTCTATGTTTGGACTGTGCTCTGCCGCTTTAACGACTCCATCACCGACACTGTCCAAAAATTTCGAACTTTGTACGGGCGCTTCACGCAGTTTTTTTCCTAGCACGGGATCACAGCGGACAAGATAAGCTCATCTTTCCCGCTCGGGTAGCCAATCAGAGCACAGGATTCGCTTCGTAATGCCCGCGGCCACTGCAAGCTTTATAATAAGATTACTTAGTGAAGTTGTGAATGATTCAAGCTTTCAGGAGTTTTATATGCATTTTCGTTTCTATTTATAACACTCCGACGGAAATGATACTGACTTATGTTAACTGCAATACCAAGAAATGTGTTTATTTTTCAGATTCCGCCTTCTAATGCACCCCTTTACCCCGCGTCTTACGAAAAGACAGATAACCTTTCTCATCTCAAGCGTTCACATTCTGTCAGCGGTTGTAGTGGTACCCTATGTCATCGTCTTAAAACTTGAAGATCACAATTGTGGGGAAGCATGGCCAAACTTCACCTCCAGACAAGCCTATACGGTAATCTTGTTCCTGGTACAGTACGCATTGCCTCTCAGCTTTATGACAGCCATGTACACATTGGCGTTGACGAAACTATATAACGTGACCAGTAACACGACTAAGATGCGCTCAAGGGGAGAAATACACCGAGATCGCGAGAGCAACAACAGCACAGAGAGAGGTAGGGGAGTGGTTCGGAAGATAAGCTCTCGCGTGGCTACGAGCATGAGGCGTGGTTTCGAGGTGGAGTCGAATGTACGGGTGACAAAACTTTTCATCGTTATTGTTGCAATTTTCGCCGTCTTTATGCTGCCCAACCAGGTACTCTGGTTATGGTCAGATTTTGGCGGAGGACACACGCACCAGGATTTGAACTCAATTAAGATTATCTGTTGGCTTTTCACGTACACTAATTGTGTTTGCAATCCTGTTATTTTTATGATATTTTGTAAGGAATTTCGAGCAGAGTTAGCAAAGATTCCAAAGAAACTGTGTCCAAACGGTCCCAGACCCCAGCTCAGCCTATCGCGGTCGAGTGGGCCTCCAACCCAGTGTATACCAATGATAGAATGCGTTTCCTCACCAAACCATTACCAGTCCCTAGACGATAAATGACTTGAAGGAAAACACACCATGATCGACGTGTAAAGCAGTTCGACTGTGAAATACGAATTGATGATATTAGCAAATTCTTAGATTCTTGAGATTTCAACATTGTGGTTTTAGACTGCATCAGTCTGACAAGTTGATGACAAAGTGAAAATTTCCCTCGTGGGTCTGTTGATAGTAGACTGGGAAAAGGTGAGAGAAAGTAAATCCCAGTAAACTACCGTTTTTTCAACAATCATCTAACTCAGAACATGTGAATAGTCACATAAAACTACTTCATGATACATCAAGGCCATTCAGGAAGATACATCCTTTTCAAATAAACATAATAACAACGTAAAAGTGTGGACACAATGAAAATGGTCAGATTATTTCTTGCTTTCGCAGCAAGAAACTAAAGCTTAGATCCCTAACTTAAGTGAAATGAAGTTCTTTGTTAATACCCAATACCATGGTCAGAGCAGTCACACAGTTTCATGTAACAATAACAATGATGGAAATGATGACCCAAATATGCAGAAGGAAATGTACAGTGACCGAACATAAAACTTCATGATTTCCCACAAGAAAACGATTCCTGCCCCTTTTTGAGTTCATATGCATTCTTAATTGAAGACGGTCTCGTGGGCCTGTGATCGAGAGGAGACCAGGTATTACCTCGTTTTCAGAGAAGCTTTTCGACGCTGAAAGAAAATTGTAAAATTTAAATCTCAAAATCATAAGATAAAATTGATAAGTGTTCTGAGATGAGGTGTCGGGTAAGACACAATTTGCAACACACGCCGCTTATGTGACAAAATTCCATTAATAGCAGAAAATCAAAGTGAAGAGAAAAACGGCCATTAGCGGTAAACAGGATGTAAAAAACATATCAAGGGAGAATTGTAAATGGTGGTTATTACATGAGACTATCAGCTAAGAGTAAAAGGACAAATCAGATCATTTTCACATCAATTTTCTGTCAGATTTTTATAACAACATTAATGACCTTAAAAAACGCTAAATTAGTGTTTAAGGAATTCTCAAATGATTCTCTCAGAAATAGAGACCGTACTATTTTACATCAAATAGTGCCTTGCAACGCAAATTAGTTACACTTTATACACATCCTGCAAATTGAGCAGCAGTATATTATCATTCAAGGCTTATTGAAAACGTGAAAAAACTGTACCACGCTTCCTTATAAAGTCACGGTTTATTCATTTGATTCAACGATTCTTTACAACGCTTCGGTTAACTCCTTCTCACAGCTCCTGGCTTATCCGAAAAGGACATAAAAAACGTGGGGTAGCAACACGTGGAACAAGGCCATATATGGGCGAAAAAAAACACGTGTTGCATACATGTTTGGTTAAGTAATTCACAAATGAAATCGCTTACAAATGTCAATCAAATTACGACTAATTAACGTATCGTACAGTTTTCAACAGGCTCTAATATGAATAAATCTTTAAAATTGGAATCCGGTTCCTGGAGGCTAATCACTCCATCTCATACAACTGCTATTTCATGAAAAAATTTATCAAGCATTTTTCGTGTCGTCGTCCAAAATTGACCAAAATTAATACAAATAACTTTTAATAGCCATTGAGAAGAAAGAAAGTCCTCATGAGGACTCAGAATTTTTCTTTGTCCCATAAAAAAGGTCCTCATTGGGATTTGGAATTGGAATTTTTTCTTTGTCCCACGCTAGCGTCAAGACGAAAAAAAAAACATCTTTCTCTAAAGAAAATATGATTAAGAAAAGTCGATTGCCTGAAGCGCGGGAAATACAAGTGACGGACTGATTGACTGCGCCACAATTTCATCTAATTTCGTGTTTTTTTTTTTTTTTTACACCAATCACGAAGCTTTGTCTGATAAACATACATTTACCGGTTACTATCGACACCGAACTGAAAATTGCTCCACAAGAAGAATTAGAATCAGTAAATGTAGCTCAGAATACAGTTTATTGCAGCACGCACCGCTGGAAGAATTTTTTTTTCTGCTAAGAACCGGTTTGATCGTAGGTCCCGGTACCTTTTCATATTTCTGCTGAGTTCTGTGTGTGGGTGTTGTAACTGTAGTCAGAGGACGATAAACTCTGTTTGGGCAAAAGGGATTGTAGCCGTCAAATGATATCTTCATGAGAGGTGATTCTGAGCCTTTTTTAGCAGGGCATTCAAAGTTTAAAAGATCCTTTATACAATCCTTAGCCTTTGAGTACTCGCTGCAATATTAGAAATGGAACGTTAATAGAACTCAAGTCTTCTATTTAAAGTAAAAAATAGGGCAGGGCTCCCATTGATAGCAGGTGGCTCTTTAGGGCT